TCCTTTCTTGGTTGGTTCCCCAAGTTCCAGCATGGCTGAATCTCAGAAGATGCTGACTTTTTCTCTCACTGGTGTGCCTGTGGCTCACTCATGACAGGAAGGAAGGCTCCTTGCTTTCTTGGTTATTCCTTTGAGTTTCAGCATGACTGATTCTTGGGGGACACTGACTTGTTCTGTCCCTGGTGTGCCCATGATTGCTCCAAACCATCCCATTGAGACTCTCTCAGGCCCCTCCAGTGCCTGGACTTAACTCCTGCAGGCTGAACTGCTCTCTAGCTGTGCCCAAGCCTTGGCGTAGCGGCCTGAGATATGGTCTGGTGCTCCCAGGGAAGTGCAGGAGCAGCAGGCCTGCCAGATTGATGCCAGCAGCTGGTGCTTGGGTGCTGACTGACACTTGCTCTGAAAACATGTTTCCTTCTTGAACCACTTGATCCTAATCCTGTTGTACTCTAAGAAAATAGCTTCGTTATATGTGTATTATAACAAAACCTGAAACACGGCTTATGCATGTGTTTTCCTTTTCCCTTTCCATGACCTAATTGATATGTCAAGCAATGCTCTCCCCTGTAAAGAATTGTAAAACCTTACCTAATTGATATGTTAACCATTGTTGCCCTCTACATAACAGAAGTTGTGCTAAAACAAGCTAACAAGGGTTGTTAATCACTGTTAGGCACCTCTATTCTCAGCTAAAGAGCTAAAGAAAACTAGAATGGCCCTCTGATTTAAGCTTGTTTGAAGTAACTTGCTTGTGTGCAGGGAGATTTGCTTATTAGCATAACCCTTTACCTGACCTTGATCCCCCTCCCCAGAAAGAAAGAAAAACATAACTGCTGTTTTCTGTTCTGTATGGTGCCTTATTGCCTCCCTCTCCACTTACCTATCTATCTAGGCTAGGCCATAAAGATTTTGGGTTTCTGGTGGCCTCTTCCTGACCCAGTGGTGGTGTGTCATAAAATGTGCCTTTGCTTCAGAGAAATTACAGGAAAATGTTGTGGCTTAACTCTAATGCACCAAAAGGGTTAAGTTCCAAATCCTTATGAAAGCTTAAGTTTCAGCTTCTTGTAACTTTCGACCTCTTCCCACCTGTTAGTGTTAATGAGCTGTCCTGAGATAATTAACTTTCTACTTTCTTCTCCAAATGCTATTGCAGATAATTCTTATCTGCAGGATGGGAGTAACTCAAAAAGCGCCAAAGGCTCCCGAGTTTGTCAGATCTAAGTGGACAGCTATACAGTTTCCAGATTCGGGTCAACAAGTTTGATGGCTCTGCAGGTTTCTTTGTCCCCCCCCCCTTTTTCCTCCAGCCTCTTTTTAAAGTCCTCCTTTCAGTCTCTGGTGCACAGTCTCCAAATTGGCTCCCGGAGACTCGTCTCCAGGCCTGGAAATAAAGCCTTTGCTTCCCAAATTTCAGTCTCTTGCTTCCTTGGATTTTATACCGGGGTCTGAGTTATTACAATCCAAGACATCAGATCAGTTCACATCCTTGAAGAGTATCTCTCGTAGATGAACACAAAGATATGAAAACTTTGACTCACAGCTTCTTTTCTCATACAAGAATGCTTGGAAAACTAAATATGCTGTGAAATGTTGGACATTTCTGTGATATCAGTATTCATGTCCAGAATAAAATATTGGCAGTGCTAAAGGTGTTCTTAGTAGCTTGTAGTGATTTCTTTCAGTCTAAACTCTAGACCAAGGAGTGGATGAGTCCAAGAGTGTGCTGGATCTCCATCATGTTACAGTCACTGGCTTTATTTTTACTTTAGAATATACTTATGCACCTCTGTGAACACAGAAGCTATTTCTATTTTTTCCACCTGCAGTCAGCTATATGTAAATGTTCAGTATTACCAGCACATCCTGAGAGTTCATGAAAAAATTATTTTATGGAATAAATACACCAAATAACCAGCCAGAAAAGAGTCTGAATACTGGGCTAGAAAATAATTCTACCTTCAATTTTACTTCTGAAAGTAATGCGTTTTTTTGGATCTTCACAGCACAGTGTGGAAAGAACCATTACTCTCTGCTGAGAATCCCTGACAAACTGCAGAAAATACATGGTTTTGTCCTATGAAGGGTTGCATACAAATAAGTTTTCCCTAGGTATTGAATTCTTCAAATTCCTACACAGAAAGTAGAAATAAACCACTGAATATGTCCTGAACTTTACTTTGGACTTTTCCTTTTGGAATTGGTCAATGGGTTCAGCCTGAGAAAGTTAAGAAGTCAGAAAACCTAGATTTGAGAATTACCTGTGGGTAGAAGAATGAGTGATTGTGTGACTTTTGAGGCACAAACGCTGCCTTGCCTCTGGTTTCTGAAGAGGATGTCTGAGTCAAAGTAGAAAGGAGAAGTGATGAGGAAATCCATGAGGGAGTATCCCAGTCGGTTAGTACATCTCAGGATTTGCTGAGTAATCAGCAGGAAGTGAATGAGGCCAAAAGTAGTCTTCCACTATAGACTCAGTACATTTAGGTGCTACTGAGGGTTGCCTGTAATACAAAGCACTTCTAGCACTAGTGCTCATGCAAATGATGATGATCAATGGAAAAATGTCCAGTATCCTATATTGCTGTTTCTACCATCAGTATAGAACCACCAAGTCCAAATGGGCCTGACAGACCTTTTCAGTGTCCAATCCATGGGGTGTGATTCACCTATATTCAGGACCTAAAACTGCACATGCTTATCCACTCAGAGATTGACCATTTCAATGTCAGCACTGGGGAAAAATTTCACCAGAGCTTACTCACTAAAGATGCTTGTTTGAAGTATAAAGTGATTTAGTGTATCGAACTGCTTAAAGCAATAGCAAGAAGAGACCTTGTTCAGTATGATCTTGGAAAGCATTTTTTTTAAAAAAATAACTCCTCTATTCAAATGTCTGTAGTGTCACAAGTCTCCTCCATCCAGCAGTGTGAAAGCACTTTCTCCTTTGGATCTCTTGCTGGGCTGGCAGGAAAGGAAGAAGAGAAGCCATATCACACAGAGACCAGAGCTTGAGCTGAAGCTACCACGATGATCCTCCACTATCGGCATTGTCTTCCATAACTAGCTGGCTGTTTTGTGGCTTGGCTTCTTTTTGTGGAAAATGTCTGTTTGATCTTTAACATTTAAATCTAATTTCATTATTTTAATGAAGAAAAGGTTGGACAAGGAATACCTTTTTTCTCTTTGCAAGCCCTGAAATTTATACTTTAGTTTTCATAACTGAGAGATTGTTTCTGCAAGGGCACAGAATCATGGTGTTGAAATAATACAAATCATGAGACCCAGCAGAATCAGTTAACTTAAAATATGTACCACATTTTTTATTTCCATTACTATAGAGAGGCTAACAACCAATCATTAAGTAAAGAAGAAATTAGATGATTATTGATTGTCCTATGATGAAAGAGTATGTGACAAACAAATTATCAAGCAGAATTTGACTAACAGCCTGAGTGAGGTTTACTCTTTGGGCAAGATGCTTTCAAGCCTTGTTTTTTGAAATATTAGTGTTAAGCTATCTAAAAATCTGAAATCAGTGCACAGGTTAATATCTATTAATAGCTTTGTTTTCTCTATTATGATTTTTAAATGAAAATTTTATGTTATGTAGGCATTTGCTAAGCTTTTCTGGTAAAACTCCAAAGGCAAAGAATCACCATCACTAAGACATCAGGCTGGGTATGAAATGACTAGGAATGAAAATGAAAAATACAGATCTTACCTTTATAGAAGAAGGCAACATACTGCATTTTTTATTTATTTGGAAAAATAGCACCAAACATAATGTAAATTGTGACAGTATGGTGGAATAATCTGGTAATTAGAATTTGTGAAGGGGTACTGCCAAATATCAACAGCACATATATTAGGGTCTATGTAAAGAAGTATCTAAAAGGCAACATATTGCATATTTTATTTACTTGGAAAAATACTACTAAACATAATAAAAATTGTGGGAGAATAACATATAACATGGTTGTGTGATAATTATCCTGAGAAAGAATATAATAAAATTAGTCTAAGTAAACACAGGGAGGGCCTGAAAGTAGTCTTTATTGTTTCTTGTAATAAAAATAGCTAAAGAAAATAGGTAAAATTAGTGAAATATTTATTATTTGGAGGTCTTACATTATTATCTGATCTATTATGCATAATCTATAGCTATATATATATAATGGCTCAAAGTACTTATGATTTTTCTTATGGTGTGGAATTTTTCACATCAAGTTTTCCTATCATAGGCACTCATAATTCCATGCCTGCTTGAATCGATGGTGGAGTAGTAGACTCATCTAAAAATCAAGGAATCACTAGAGAATATGTTCAGGCAGACTTATTTAGGGGGAATTATAATACTTTCTGGGTCATTTAGGAATGTTAATTCTGCACTCTTCAGAACCAGCAGAGCCTCTCCAAGAAAGTTAACTTTCAGTCAATCTGAATTCTGTTCCAATCTTTGCCAAAGATCATGTTTATGACATGCTATCCTGTGTCTATGAGACTAAAAATTGACTGATTCATCTGTAATTTGAGAAGCCCTTCATCTGTGGTGTCAAAAATTTGGAGATTTATTCTACAAAGGAGATTTAATAAATTCATCAATATCTTTCTTTTGGCGTGTAGATATGGAATATCCATGCATTACTTTGGTTAAAATGTTAGCACTTGATACAATAAGTGAAAAAAATATTAGTGATACCAAAGAGAGTACAATATAGAAATTGGGTAGAATGAAAAATAGAGAGAATGTAAGCAAATATTTGCATATTTGTGCCATTCAAAAATAAATGGCAGTCTGTTTATTTGCTTGTTTAAAGCTCTTGTTCTCAAATTGTAGAGGCGTGAAATTCAGCTGGAGTGTTATTTGAAACATATTTTTCTGTTCTTCATCTCCAGACACTATCAACTGTTAGTGGAAAAATGTGCCAAGATTTTTAAACCTACTCTGCTGCCAGGTGCTTCTTTTGCTTGTATAGAAAGCATTCATTTCATATTTTTGCCACATGTTTTCTGCATGATATACTATTGAAATGGAGCTTACAAACCAAACAACTGTCTTCAAATTCTTTCTTGTGGGACTGACAGATGATCCAAACCTACAGCCCCTCATCTTCAGCCTGTTCCTGTCTATCTACCTGATAACCATCTTGGGAAACCTGCTCATAATGCTGACGGTCAGCTCTGACTCCCACCTCCACACACCCATGTACTTCTTCCTCTCCAACCTGTCGTTCACTGACATCTGTATAAGCACAACCACGATCCCAAAGATGTTGGTGAACATCCAAACACAGGATCAGCGAATCAGTTACACAGGCTGTGTCTCCCAGATTAGCTTTGTGTTGATTTTTGGTGGTTTGGAAAATTGTCTCCTTGCAGTGATGGCCTATGACCGCTATGTGGCCATTTGCCACCCTCTGACGTACACAGTCATCATGAACCTGCTACACTGTGTCTCGCTGGTTCTGCTCTCCCTGATCATGACTACTGTGAATGCTCTGCCTCACAGTCTGATGGTGCTGCGGCTGTCCTTCTGCACAGACCTGGAAATCTCCCACTTCTTCTGCGAGCTTGCTCAGGTCATAAAACTCTCTTGCTCTGACACCCTCATTAATTTTCTCCTGATGAATTTAGGGACTAGCATATTTGCTGGGATTTCTTTATGTGGGATTATTTTTTCTTATACTCAAATTATCTCTTCTATTCTGAGGATTCCTTCTGTGAGTGGAAGATATAAAGCCTTTTCCACCTGTGGGTCTCACTTCTTAGTCGTGTCTTTATTCTATGGGGCAGGTTTAGGTGTGTATTTGAGTTCTGCAGTTAAAGGCTCTTCCGTTAAGAATATAGTGTCTTCAATGATGTACATTGTGATTCCTCAAATGCTGAACCCCTTTATCTATAGTTTGAGGAATAAGGAAATGAGGGAATCCTTGACACATCTCCTCACTGGTAAACCTTCTTTACTGTGATTATGTCAACTACTTGTAGCTTGAGTTTCTAATATCACCTAAAATGACAGAAATAGTGATGAACAAGAATTCTGACTCTCCATCAGTATATTTCTTTAAAAATGACTGCATAATGGGAAGTCTAAATACATTTCAACACAGACTACAAATTCACTCTGCCCTTTTTGTACTGGAAATCAAACTCACAACCTCATGCTTTCCAGGTATAAGCACCTGTGCCACTGAGCTAAATCCTCACTCCCTCGTTCTTTTTTATCCTTTTCATTTTCAAGCTGTTTGTTCCTGCCTCACTTCATCCTTCATTTTGACACACTTTACCACTTTCAAAACGTTTTCTTATTTTCTATCTCTCCATTATTACACTCACTCATCCATTTATTTATATTTTTGAATTATTGCGAAGAAGAAACTATATAATATTTAATTTCCGTGTCTCACTTGTTTCACTTAGTTCGATGTTGTCAAATTTCATGTATTTCCTCCAACTTATGTGATTTTATTATTCTTTGTGATAAAATAATGTTCTATTGTGTGAATATACCACATTACCTTTATTCACCCATCTATCTTATATGGACAAATGTATAAAACACTTCCATTTAGAAACTCATTGCACTAATCCAATTTCTCTTTCTGCATAAGCATATTTACAACAGCCCAAGTCACAGCTAACAGCTCAGATGCCAATCAACAGATTAATTGAATGCATTATCACTGTTTTATATGTGATTTAACAAGTTATTTCATATTTTCTTCTTGAACACAATGCTTAAAGCCAATAAATTAGTTCTGTATCTATATTTTTTTCATCATTGAACTGCAGAGATTGCATCATATTTTGAAGTTTAGTGGCAATATTTCATTCATTGTCATTCATTCAGTTTCAATATTCATCACTCTGTCTCACTGTCACTCTTGCTTTTGCTTGCCCTCTGTCTGTCATGTTTTTTCCACATTATTGAAGACTGACCACAGGGCTTTTGCATGGTACAGAAGAGCCATACTGCTGAGCTATATCCCTAACTCACTTTCTATTCTTACTTGTGCAGTGATAATAAGAACTAGGCAGAGTTTCTGACATTTAGATAATCTGGTACTTGCTTTTCTACCACTGGGAATAAGCCTAAGAGTATATTAAATATCACATTATGATGATAATGAAAACTATATCTTGATATAGATTAATTGAAGCTAGACAGCTAAGAAATTTGACAAATTCAAGTAAATTTCCTCCATGAAGCTAGAGAGCTAAGAAATTTGGTAAATACAAGTTATTTTCTTCAAACATGTATTGTGTTCAGTGTGAATTCACTGATTTCCCATTTGTATATATTAGAAGTTTTTATTTCCTTATGTCTAACAGCCATTGGCATGTGCAGGCCTACTTAGTTAAATGTCTGTTCTCTCTTTTTGCAGTCTCCTTCATCTTGCCATTTGATTTTGTCTTTCTCATCTTAGATTAACTTACAGCATATTAGCCAGTTGTTACTTTTATTTTTATTCAGGGTTTTTCAAATTTCCTCATTCCATTTTTTTAAAAAATAGAGGAATGATGTGACATTTATGTAATTGTAAAGATTACCAATGAAAGTAACAAATATAATACATAAGTGTTCTAAAAGCACATTTCCTGGGTCCTCTTGTTATGGTCTCATGTGCTCCAAGAATGAAGAACTTGAATTCTAAGCCATATATCTCTGCCTACACAGGTAGATATTTTCAGAAGGGAAATGGAGGGATCATGATGACATCCCTGTATTTCTATTATGGTACAACTCACCGATCATCTCAAGAGGTGCCCTAAGGTGAAATGTAAAATCTGGTGCTTTTAAATGTACATAAATTAATTCTAAATATAAATTTAAAAAAGAACCTTGCCAGCTCTTTCAGCCTAATATTGCTACAGCCTCATCCTCTGTGTCTTTAGAAGCAAAAGTTTTCCTAGCAACATTTATGCACACTTTGATTTCTTTCCCATGTTTTTCTGAGGTCCATCCAAACATACTCAGGTTTGACTACTCACTTGCAGGTACAGTTGCCCTCACAAATCAGTATTGTAGTATTTACTGCTGACTACAGTTTATTGAATTCTGTTTCTTGGCAATACACACAAAATTGCAGATCCATATCAAAGCCAACAATCATCTTTGTTAAGTTTTCCATTCAAGACTTTTCTTAAACATTAAAGTGTTCAAATTCACAGTCCTGGGTGTAGGTAATAGTCAACGTTTGAATGAAGTTATATTTCTAAAGTTCATAAAATGTACAAATATGAAAATATAGATTTAATTAATTCCAGTTATAAATATCAACTCTAAATGTTTTAATCTCTACAATTTAAAATGTATAGCTATGAAAATATTAGAAGCACTAAATTCTTCAGCACATTGTCCTGGGCAATGATTTTTAGACGATTCGCCAAAAAGTAGAATATACAAAACCAAAAACTGATGTATTAGACTATATCAAATTTAAAAGTTTCTAAATGGAGAAGAAAATAAACACTACAACTTACAGACAGTTCATACCATGGGAAGTAATAAGTGCCAGCTGCACATCTGACAGAGGGCTGATTCAGGATGTATAATAGTGCAAATCACAGGAATAAAAATTTTATTTAAAATGAGTTAAAGTACATAAAGAAGGATAAAGTTGAGACATTTCTATCAAAACAGATACAACTTGAGACCACACTGTTAAGTGAAATAAATCTGACACATAAGGAGGATTTGACATGTCTCAATAGAGGAGGAGCCACATTGGAGCTACTCAGAGAAAATCAACTAAAACTACAGGTAATAAACAGACCAGCAAAATGTATGAAGAAGCAAAGTACAACAATATGGGGTCTTCAGTAAACAGATTTAACTGAAAAACAAATTTGTAGACTAAAAGTCAAACATGAAAATCAATACTCCCTGTGACAGCAATGTAGTAAAAAGCAGTGGCACATGTTCTATTTGCAGACAATGTAAACTTAAATCCAAGACTGATCAAAAGAGAAAGAGGTCACTGTGTACTTTTTAAGGTAAAACTCTTAGATGAAGAGATAAAAACTATATATATATATATATATATATATATATATATATATACCTCAAATGTGAGTGTGCCTGACTACATAAATATATTAATAGACATAAAAAAGCAACCAATTGTCATATGGGACTTTAATGTCCAACTTTCAGAAATAGGAAGATAATTGAAACAAAGAAATTAGTAAAGAAATATTAGAAGCAAAGAAAACCTGTGAAGAAATTTTCTTAGCAATTTTCTACAGAACCTTCCAACCACAACATCGTAATATACTTTCTTCTCAATTCTCACTGAACATTCTCAAAAGTAGGCCATGTAAAGGCCACATTATATCCTTAAGTAAATGCAAAGGAATTGAAATTATCTAATTTGTATTATCAGAGCATAGTTCAAAAAAATAAAAATCAATATTAAAAGAAACTACTGAAATTACATAAGGAACTAGAAATTAAAGAACATCCTCCTGAACATCCAATGGCTCACAGATCAAATGTTCTTTCTACAATTAAATGAAAATGCCAATACATTCTATATGAATTTATGGGATGCAATGAAAGAAGTGAAGGATGCTCCCATCAGGAAAACAGAATGAATTCAAATAACAACTTAATGTTGAATCTCAAACTTCTAAGCAAAAAACATACCAAACCCAAAGCTTGTACAAGCAAAGATATTATAAAAATTGCTGCACAAATTGAGTTGGAGACTAGAAAAGCAATGCAAAGAATTAATGATCAAAGAGTTGGTTCTTCGAAGGGCTAAGTACATCTGATAAATGCTTAGCTTATCTCATCCAAAAAGTAAAGACTCAAATTCAAATAATTAGAAATATAAACAAAACAGATAATGCAGGAATCCAGAGGATCATCTTTACCTTCTTGGAAAATATGTACTCTAATAAGTTGGAAAACACACAATAATTGACAATGAATTACCACTAGAAGAAGATATATGGATTCTAAAACCCACTATTTGTCAGTGAAACTGAAAATGTATTTTAAAACGTACTGAACAAATAAAAGCCAATGTCCTGATGGGTTCACTGCTGAATTCCACAGGAAATTTAGAGAAGATCTAAAGCCACCAGTGCTGAAACACTTTAATGAAATTGAAAGGGTAACAATACTTCCAAAATCATTCTTGAAAGCAAGTATTACCTTAGTAACTAAACCAGTGATAGATTCAACAAAAAAAATAAAACTATACCCTAATGAACATAGGCACAAAAATTCTCAGTAACAGCTATCATGCCAGGAAGCATCCAGTGATGGATTCCTTTCCCCTGTATTGTGGGACTTGGCAACCAGCCCAAGAAGAATTCAGAAGACTGGTTCCTCCCTCACACATTGATGAGACCACATGACCAGGGGAAGGTCAGCCACAGGTTAGGACCCGGAATATGGTGCACAGCATGCAGATGCAGTACAAGTGGGTTGAAAAAGTCTGAAGCAACATTAACAATTGAACCATCCGGTGGTAAGTTAGATGAACCACCTTTGTGCTTGGAGACAAAGACACACAGGATAAAAGCAGGTGGGTGGACACTCCTTTTTAAACATATTTCCTTTTCTTTTTTTTTTTTTTTTCTATTTTGACTCCTCAATACAAACACTCAAGAAGCACTTGGAGTGAAGTATTTCAAACCCTTAAAAAATAACTTCCAACTTAAATTGATGTACACTGAAAAACTACCTTTCACAATTGATGGAGAAAAAAGATACTTCCCTAACAAAGAATTACAAAAAAAGTTTATGACCACCAAACCAACCCTCAAATAACTACTGCAAGATATCCTGGGAAGACATTTTTAAAAATCACAATTCCAAGAACATCAACAGAAATAAATTACCAGTCAGGGTAAAACATTAAATAAAGGGAAATCCCAGGTAGCCAACAGCAGGAATGTAATATGGCAAAGATAAGTGAATACGTGTCAATATTAGCATCAATGAAAACGGCCTCAATTCACCAATGAAAAGAAACAGATTTGCAGAATACATCAAGAAAAAAGATCCAGCAGCTTCCTGAGGCACCTCAGCCTGTGGTGAGTGCCCAGCACAGTCTGCCCAAATCTCAGACTGTTCCGGACCCCCCAGGCTTCTGGGTGCAGTGAAGTGGAGCAGTGGGTTAGAGGCCACTACAGCTGCCTCCCCATCCCCCCCTGGCTACACTTGGAAGTCTGCTGAGCTCCTGACGGATGGGCGGGCCTACACTAACCCCCAAGCCCAGCCGCACCTAGCCATCTCCTGCAGAGGAGGAGCTGGGCGGATCCGGAGTCCCTGCAGAAGCCCGTTCCTTTGTCTGAAGGACTGAATACTTCTGCAAGCAGAGAGGCATCGCAGCTTCCTGAGGCACCTCAGCCTGTGGTGAGTGCCCAGCACAGTCTGCCCAAATCTCAGACTGTTCCGGACCCCCCAGGCTTCTGGGTGCAGAGAAGTGGAACAGTGGGTTAGAGGCCACTACAGCTGCCTCCCCATCCCCCCCCCCCCCGCTACACTTGGAAGTCTGCTGAGCTCCTGACGGATGGGCGGGCCTACACTAACCCCCGAGCCCAGCCGCGCCTAGCCATCTGCCTGCAGAGGAGGAGCTGGGCGGATCTGGAGTGCCTGCAGAAGTCCCTTCCTTTGCCTAGAGGACTGTGGATATCTCTGCAAGCAGGGAGGGATCACAGGCTCCTGAGGCACTGTGGCCTGTGGAGAGCACCCTAACCCGGCTGCAATTGAAGAGCTGTGGATCTTCCAAGGGGCAGGTGGGCGCACAGTGTCCCTGAGGCCCAGCTTGTCTGGAACTGCGGAGTTCTGAGCAGGCAGAGGAGGGACACTGGTTCTGCAGGCCCAATGGCTTGGGGTAGTGCGGTATCAGAGGCTCAGTAGCTCCAAACATAGAAGGGGATTTTCAACAGATCCTGAGGAAGCTTTCAAATAACACTTGAAACACAGAAATACACAAAATGACAAAACGAAAGACCAAATTACAACCTCAAACCTCCAGCCCATCTCAGGAAACCCTAGGAGCAATGTATATAGAAGAAAATATATCCCATCCACCTCATATATCGGACATAATAGCTACTGAAGTTGACAAACAACTCCAGGAAGCTTTAAAGAAATTCAAACTCGAAATAATCTCCCAGATAAAAGAAGAAATGATAAAAGAAATGAAAGAGATTCTAAATATATCTAAAGAAAACACAGATAAAAAATTGGAGGAACTAAACAAAAAGATAGAATCCCTAGACGAGCAATATAAGAAACAAACAGAATACATAATGCAGATGCACAGAGATATACAGGAAATAAAAAACTCCACTGAAAGTTGTAAAAACCGCCTTAATGAAAGTGAAGATAGAATTTCAGACCTTGAAGACATGATTGCAGCTAGTGAACAGGAAAGGAAAGATCTTTTGAAAATAACAAGGAATCAGGAAACAACAATTCAACAACTGCAAGACGATGCAAAGAAGAATAACA